AGTATTAGCTGACGAAAGCTACTCAGCCACTTCCAGGCAGGTCACATGCTCAGGAACAGGTCAGACACGGTTAATGATGAGCCAGAGAGACAATTAAGACCTAGCCTGAATTCCTACAGAGAAAATTATTCAAGAGTCATCTCATGTTTACTTTTACTAAGCCAAACAGTGGTTCTGTTTCTAGTCAGTGAAAGCTCTTCCTCTAGTTAAAGAGAACAAAAAAAAAAAAAAAGGCACAGAAAACAGAAGTAATAGTCTCTCATATAGAAGGCCTTTTCTCTACAAGACTTATGGAAGTACTGATAGTTACAGTGGAAATATTTACATTTTTTTAACAGGTAGGAGTATTTGAGAAACATGTTCCTGCCAGATCTGTAATACATATTTTTTCATAAATAAAACCGTATTTCACATATTGACACCCTATTCCTGCTTAACAGATGCCTAGGAAAGAAGAAAGTTTCATGTTCTTTCTCCTCATCTTGCCTTGTTTTTCAGCCAGCTTTGCAAAGCTGTTTCATTACTGCAAGTAAGTCCCTGTGGACATAACTGCTGGCTCCCATACTCAGACATGAGAATGTTTGAGATCACACAGGAAGTTTTAAACTTCAAGACACAATAAAACCCAAAATGTAAACAACTTCTTGCCTCTAATATTATAAGATCAAATAAGGTTATCCCCAACTGAGAATTAGTAATCACCATACAAACTGTAACACCACAGTACTGCTGCAGAAAAAAAGGTGGGGAAAAAAGCCAAACCAAACAAATCATTCAGTAAAATCCTAATTTTTGAAAGGCAATGAACCACCTAAGAGGAGTGAGCAAGCAGGTCACTCATCTTCTCTGACTGGGCTGAGAAGTATTCAAACACAACATTCATCCCTAGCATGAGTCAAGGGAAACTAAGGATGGTCTTACTTTGCAATACTTAGTGGTAACTCCAGCTGCAAGAGAGACTCTTTGCCAGGTTGCCTAGAATCAGCTCTCTTCCGTTCTCAAGCTCCATTCTACTTAACATTTGGAAAACCACACTTTAAAACCCCAAGTGGCCATGACTAAGCTTGCT